GGATTGGAAATCGTCGGTTCCACCCCTTGGGTTTCATCCGGATCCTCGCGTTCACCGGGTTTCTCCCAGTCGTCGCGGAAGGAGCGTTCGGCATTCTATCGCGAGCGTGCGGCTCAAACGTACAACGCGTTCTGGTACTTCTTCGGCTCAAGTGTCATCGAGATTCCGTACACTTTCGCGGGTGTGTTGCTCTTCATGGCAGTCTTTTATCCAATTGTGGGCTTCACCGGTGCTGAGGCTTTCTTCACTTTCTACCTCGTTTTGTCGTTGGGTGTGCTGTTCCAAGAGTATCTCGCCGAGCTTGTTGTGTTTGCGACCCCGAATGTGGAGGTGGCGGAAATCCTGGGAATGCTCGTGAGCCTCTTCACCTTTTTGTTCGCGGGCTTCAGTCCCCCCGCCTCGGAGCTGCCTACAGGCGTCAAATGGATCTACCACATCAATCCGTTCACCTACACAATGTCGGCGCTGTGCACTATTGTGTTTGGCGATTGCCCTAGTGAAGGCAGCAGTGCCATTGGATGCAACGAGTTGTCGAACGCGCCACCATCGTTGCGCGAAGGGATTATCGTAAAGGAATACTTTGAAGTCAACTTCGGTATGAAGCACGAACACATCTGGAGAAACTGCGGTATCTTGTTCGGAATCGTGCTTTTCATCCGAGTTTTGACACTTTTGGCGATGCGGTTTCTCAATTTCCAGAAAAAGTAGACGATAACTTCGAAGTGCAGTCTACAGAAGTACTTCCCTTAAAAAACAAAATACATTTAATGTTTTGAGTTTATCAACACCACCGTTAATTTTCACTACGGACATGTAGTACCGCATCGCCCCTGTCGCAAACGAAGTTTTGTCCTAAGCGAACTTCGATTATGACCAATGGCAGCGCTTTATTTATAACAGTTAGCTGCACGTTTCCAAGGCAATTGGGAGAGACAGCGTACAATAGGTTGAGATTAGGACGCGATGCGGTACTTGTTCTCTGGATTTTATATCCATTCCGACCCAAAACTACTCTAGCCTTTTATACTCAGAGCCCAAACTAACGTAAAACTTACATCAGCACTTACATGTATACACCTGTATAGCGTGTCATTTCAGCTTGTATGAGAAACAACTCCTCTACTTTAATCAAGTGGTGATGTACTATTATACTTGTATCTGGTATCCTTTGTACAGGTGGTCGCTTGTGGCGGCCAAGCGTAGCATCACGGTAAATTACGACAAGCAGAAATAATTTTATCTCCGTGAATGTTGTCCGGGGAGTCTTTACGCTGAAGTGAAGAAACTTCAGCGTAAAGAATCCCACCAATATCCTTCTTGTGGTCGCAGTGCAGTAGCTGCATGAATTACCGGTATCCAGAACTAATATCGGAAAGCCAATCGCGAAACAGTCGCGAATGTGTACAGCGTTTGGACGGGTTGATTGTACGAATTTAGAATAAGTTTGATTTCGTAAGCCCTACCGAAGAGCTACGTGCCAGTGCCGCACCGCTCGCTGTAGTCTATTCAGGGCCATCGTTGCCTTGATACAGGTGATTCGACCGCTAAATTGCGGGTGAAGGAATCGCTCGCGTACCCACTTATTGTGGATTCCAGAAGACACCTGATTGCACAAGTAAGAACCTCAGATTTTCAAGGTAAGAGCTATATAAAGTAGGCTAGAGCACGAGACAGTCTAAATCTATAATTATTCTCCATCTTACCTCAAGCTCCGCAGTTCCCCACCTGCAGGGCCTTTGGACGCGATACACCCCTCTGCAAGCCCCTGGCGTGCCCTTTTGGTATATCAAACATGAAAATCGGAAACAAGAGAATCAAGACAATCAACCAACACCTTATGAAGCATGGGGCGCTGAACAAGACTGGACTAGTAGCCAACACGATGGTAGTCACACCGGCGACCGCGGCAACTCCTGCGGAGATTGCTACCATCAAGATTAAAAGGTTCCGTGGAGGACGAGCTCGAGACTAGATCAAGTGGAGCAGTCCATTTCGCAGTCTAGTTTTGCAAGAAGTAGTGAACTGACGAGCAAAAGTCCCACCACCTCGCTGCTCCCATCGAGGGGGATTTGGGGCCTGAAGTCGAGCAAGCCGCCATTGACGCCTTCACCACGGTCAAGTACTTCGAGGAGCTCTTTGCAGACGTGGGTCAGTTGTCGGCTCCCGCAGACTTCAGCGAAGACTTGGACAACGAGCTCTGGACCAGGGAGAAGCGTCGCGATGAGACAGTCGTCAAGTTCTCCCACCGTGTGAGGATACATGTCCGTATGCTCGCAGAACTACCACTGAACGCCGAAGAAGTGCCCGAGGTGCAGCATTGTATCTACCTCAAGCGAGGACTGCCGCGAGCTTGGCAAGACAAGCTGGTAGCTTCAGATATTGTGCACGACAAGCTCAGCGAGCTTGTGCTCTACTTCTCACGCATCGAGAAGGCTGAACAACAACTTTCGACACGTGAGAAAAAGGAAGGGAAGCAACATCATGGTAGGACCAAATACCAACACGGAGTGAAGGGCGTCTTTAAGAGTCATGATAAAGACAGTAATAAGTACAGGGATGGCTCCGAGCGGAAGTCCAAGAGTGACAAGTGGTGTTCCTTTTACAAGACGAGCTCGCAATACGGATGACTGCTACGCCGTCAAGAAGAAGGAAAAAGACGATTACCAGAGCGCTGAATCACGACAACTTCCTCAAGTAAGCAACATGCTCGATATCCTCGCGTCCACAGAGACTCTGATTCCGATTTAGACTCGGATGGTATCATGTCTTTCGAATGATACATTGCAGTTAAAAAAAATATGAGCTTTTTAGAATGGAATATTTGTTTCAGTAATGATGAAAACTTTAGTACGATAATTCCAGTATCGTCATAAAATTTTTGTAGCCCATGCTTCACAAAACTACTCAATTTCAGCTAAGCAAAACTGAGAATTAGCCACTGGGTGCCTTTCAAAGGCCTCATAAAAAAATTTAATCACTGGGGTTAGGGTGGATTAAACGGCTTCGTGATAATACTGCAAAGTTTGGTGAGACGAGAAAGTCGTCTCACCAAACTTCCCGTTTTATCCGCTTTAATCACGCACCCCTATTTAGCAACTAATTAAAAAGTAAATTGTATTCTGTATATGATTAAGCGATTCCCCTAACTAGCACATTTCATAAAATTGAAGTTGAAAAGCGTAAGCGATTCGAAGGCGCTAAGTTTCGCGCCTACCGCGGCCTCACTTCATTCCAAAATCATTTTCCTACCGCACAATCAGACTCGCGGTGGTTGTAAGTAGGGCATATTCTCCCGCCGAATTGTTTGTTCGACCTTATTAACTTGTTAACTTGTGCTATGGTACTATTGGCCCTCAGGTATGAGGCAGAACATTTTCGCAATGGCCTTCAAGCTCCTAGGTGCGGCTACAAGGTGATGCTTTTCTTCATCATCACCTTGTAGCTTGGAGTATCGTCTAAGAGAAGCGTACGCGTTAACCCGATTAGTGTTTGTGTTTAATATGTGTTAGCCCCGGAATGGTAGCGCCTACTACTATCAATCGGTCTCTTGACTTCGTTCGTGACGAGACTCGTGATCACTGTGATCGACCAGAGCGGCTGGCGGGCTTCCACTAACTTTGCCAAAACCTTTTGTCGAAGTGGTGATGGCCACACAATTCGCGCAGGTGCAAAGCCATTTAAAGCTCTAGACATGGCGTCCTCCGCAGCATTTAACACGCATGAGAGTGTGGAGGGTGGCACAGCAAACATGAGGCAACGCGATTCCCTTTTCACGGTACCTACGTAAAACGACAACAACAGACCCAGAACCTGATGGTGGTGCTGTAACTTCCTGGGTCTCCCCCCACGCGGAGAGTACTGAGGAAGCTCAAAACAAAGCGCAAAACGCTCTAATAGGATCTCGAACGCAGCTCTATTCAAAATACACATTTTGTACTGTCAGGTCGCTGTTTATGTAGATAGACACAAATATATCTTACCGAGATAAGCTCGTCTTTGTTATCAGGTTCCCATCGGTGCCGTTAAGCCACAATCGCATCCGGTCGGACTCCATGGGGTGCTTTAAGCAGTCGAGAGCTACGTAGTGCCTCATTCGTACGAGTCTCTGCCACTCAATACGTAGCTTCTCTTCATG